TAACAACATAATGAATGCTACCTCCCTAAATCAACATGACTCAAATATGTGCGATGAATCGAAAGGATAAAAAGTATTGCTTCTAGGGGGCAGAGCATTCCCGTGAGAGGAAAGAGCTGGAGCAATATCCCTGATTAGGATAATGTTTGTCATGTTAGATGAACAACAAGGAGGTTAATGGAGCTGGAGCAGGAGTGAAGGGAAAAGTATGAACTGAGGTCAGAGCGGTAGCCAGACATCAAAGAGGTACTGAGATAATACACAGACAGCTTCTAGCATAACACCTGGCACAGAACAGGCTACTATTTGTCTTCATAGTTGCTATTATTGTTACTACTTGTAATGACTGTTACAAGAATGGTATAAAGAATTCCCAGAGACCCTTGACTTTGATTTCCTAAGTGTTTCCATTCCAATCTATTTGATTTGTATATACAGGTATGTGTCGCTTAATATTGTTTGGGCAATGTCAGCCAGGCATAACATCAGTGGTCCCATAAAGTCCCTCCCCCGACAAGGGAAAGCAGTTCTCTTTTTGTTTATTATTTTCCCCTAATGGTTTTAAAGATCTCAAATCCCCAGAGCGAATAATCAGCGGGGTTCCAGGGTGTATCCCAATTCCTGCTGTGTCTCCTCCTCTGCCTCCTCCTTTCCCTTCTCCCGGCTTCATCCACCCATCCAGCAGCCACCAGTGTTTCATTCCCAGTGCAAGGCAGCACCTGATGAAGCTCCTGCATGCCTGCCGTGGCTCTTCCACTCCTCTTGCTGGCGCCTGCGGGCTCCCAGCTCTGCTCATCAAGAATTGGCCACACCAACAGAGTTGCTACCACCAGCCATGCTCCCACAACCCATTCCCCACCTGGCCTCCAATCCTCCTGACCCCCCACCCCAAATACACATGCACAAAGTCTCAACCCAGCAGCCAGCCTGATGCAGCTGCATATCTGGTAAGTTCTGCTGCCTCTTGTATCCATTCTCGGCTTTGACAGGTGTGCTTCCATAAAGTTTTAATAAATTTTATGGGGATTTAACCATAGAGTGTACAAGGACTACATGCATATAATAGGATATTCACACAATGTCCAAATCACATAGAGTCCTACATCACAGAACACAGGTGGATGTTCAGTGATGTGTGTATATATAATGTACATATAACTTTTCAGAACTATATAAAAGAGTAGAAAAAGTTACAGATTTCATTTTACTTGGATCCACAATCAATGTCCATGGAAGCAGCAGTCAAGAAATCAGTTGTCATACTGCACCAGCCAAGTCTGCTGCAAAAGACCTATTTAAAGTTTTGAAGAGCAAAGATGTCACTTTGAAGACTAAGTTGCACTTAACCCAAGCCATGGTATTTTCAATCTCCTCATATGCATGTGAAAGCTGGACAATGAACAAGGAAGACTGAAGATGAGTTGATGACCTTGAATTATGGTGTGTTGCGAAGAATACTGAACATACTGCCAGAAGAACGAACAAAGCTGTCCTGGAAGAAGTACAGCCAGAATGCTCCTTGTAAGTGAAAATGGCCAAACCTTGTCTCAACTACTTTGGTCATGTTGTCAGAAGGACCATTCCCGGGAGAAGGATATCATGCTTGGTAAAGTGGAGGGTCAGCAAGAAAGGGGAAGACCCTTAACAAGATGGACTGACACAGTGGCTGCAACGATGGGCTCAGGTATAGCAAGGACTGTAAGGCTGGTGCACAACCAGGCACTGTTTCGTTCTGTTGTACACAGGGTCGCTATGAGTTGGAGCCGACTCGACGGCACCTAACAACAAAAGTTATAGACATGATATCCTTGTTCCCCTACATACTTCAGTTTATATTTCCCAAAATAAGGAATTTTCTTATAAAGCCACAACATAATCATCAAAATCAGTAAATTAACATTGATAAAATGCTATTATCTAAGCTATTGAATTTATTTGGATTTTCTTTTCTCTTGATACCGCTCTCTCTTTTTTTTTTTTTTTTAAATTGTGATTTGGGTGAAAATTTACAGAGCAAATTCACTTTCCGTACAGCAGTTCACATACAGTTTGTCTCATGACATTGACCACAATTTACCAC